TAGACACACGTAGGGCCTGGCGATGTATATGGTAGCGCATAGTAAGTAGTGTACACTACATACGGCCTGCGGTGTACAGCATCATCTCCGGAAACCCCGCGCTAGTCGAACCAAGATGCACGCGCCCATCAAACATGCAACCCCGGGGGAGGGGCATGTGGCCCATTTTGGGCTCACGTCCTTGGAACGCGTCGTCGTCGTTCGTCGTCCATTCGACTTGCATCCATGGCTGATCCGCATCGTGTCAGCCCGACGACAAGATCCTGGATGTGTCTAGTCGGTCCATCCAGTCACATGCCCATCCATCGTCTCTGCCTGCGAAGCACCATCCAAGGTGGCCGACCCAGCAGAGTCGATTCGAGTCGAGTCGAGTCGAGTCGAGTTGACCCAATGGGACGAACACATGTCTCGTTGGTTCCTTGCTAGGTACCTACCTACCTACCTACCTACCTACTCGCTAGACTACTACCGTACTGTACTGTATGTATCGTACCAATAATTACTCCACGGCCATCCGCCTGAAGCGACCGACATCGACCATCCATCCTTGACGGCGAGCATGAACCCCCCGCATCTTTGTCTCCCTTTGACGCTTGACTCGCTCGCCCGCCGCCTGATAACCCACCCCTGTGAGCTGGAACTGGATGAGTGCGGATTATCTTAATTCGTCCCATGTTACCGGTACTGTAGCAACTCACTGCAACGGAGCAGCAACACCACACCGTACCGGCAGCCGCCCTGCATCTTCGCACTCACTCCCACCACCACCACCACCCAGAAAGGGCGCCGCGTCGGAGGTTCATCCTTGGTCCCCTGGTCTTCTGCCAACTCGTGAGACGATACCGCCATCACTCAATAATAATTCGCCCGTTTGCATTATAGCCGTCTGACGCCATCGCTCTGCACGGGCCAGCCCCGACTGACGCCTCTTCCTCTTTGCTCCGCCGTGCCCTGCTGTTTATGGAAGACGTCCTCCGCCGACCTCAACCGCCTACAACAACACGGCCGCCATCAACAGAAATCCCCCCCACCGGCGCTGCTCCTTATAGAGTCCATCCCACCATCACCACCACCACCACCTCGCGCCGCCCTTTGCTTTGCATTCCACCTCATCCTTCTTCTGCAACAACATTCCGATCCGAAAAAAGTATCAGCTTGACTTTTCACTGTTCTTGCATCGGTCCTAGAAAAAGTTTGCTTTTCTCCCAACGCGAAGCGGCATTACATACCTTCCTACCATCCTACTTACCTACCTACTCCTTGGCCTTTTCACGCACGGCATTTCTATCCGGCTCTTGGACATCGACAACCTTATTTTTCTCCATCTCATCTCCTCGCATGCACGGTTGATCTCCAAGACGAGAGGCATGCCCGACCGCACCGAACACCAACCCGCCGTCCATCTTCTTATCTAGTCTCGACCCGGCACCGTCTCTCGAGTACATCCATCTGCCCTTACTTCTCTTTTTCAAGACTTCTTGCGCAAGGAACCTATCTCTTTGTCTTTGACTGCCCCCAACAGACGCGACACAACTCGCACACGCGCCCAACAGTCCCAAGTCTTCTTGACCTAGGAGGCTCTCTCTCAGAACCGCTAGCCATGGCAGGCATTCTGACTTGGAAGAGCCGCTTCGGCGGAGTCTTCGGCAACAAGCACGGAAAGGACGACGCCACAGAAGACCGGCACCCTGACATTCCCAAATCGAGCTTGGGCGTCCTCAATGACCCACAAACGCTCGAAGTCCCTGGTGAGCATATTCCCCCCTCCCCTCCCCCCTCCCGTCCGTACGTCTTCTCTTCCAAAAGGGCCTCGGCGCTGACAAGCCCCCCCCCTTTAGGATCCGTCTTCCTTCTCGGCAGGCACAATGCGCCCGTGGGCGTGAGCAACATGCCCGCCAGGACGGCTCACTCCTCCATGCCGGATCCTACCGGAGGCGCCAAGACGACCAAGGACGGCACCGTCCTCAACCCCCAGCCTGAGGAGTCGGCCAACGACCCCCTCAACTGGCCCGAGTGGCGCCGCGACTGCGCCCTGCTGGCCCTCGGCTTCTACTGCATGGTCGGCGGCGGCATGACCCCGCTGCTCGCTGCCGGCTTCACCAACGTCGCCGAGGACTACCACATCGAGACCGAGACCGTCTCCCTGACCACCGGCCTCTACATGATGGGCCTGGGTCTCGGCTCCGTCGTCTTCTCCCCCACCGCCATCCTCTACGGCAAGCGGCCCGTCTACCTCTTCAGCGCCGTCATCTTCATCGTCAGCTCCGTCTGGGCCGCCCTGTCGCCAAACTTCACCTCGCTCGTCCTGGCCAGGATCTTCCAGGGCGTCGCCGTGAGCCCCGTCGAGTGCCTCCCCTCCGCCACCATCGCCGAGATCTTCTTCCTCCACGAGCGCGCCTTCCGCATCGGCATCTACACCCTGCTGCTGCTCGGCGGCAAGAACCTGGTCCCGCTCGTCAGCGCCGTCGTCATCCAGGCCCTGGGGTGGCGTTGGGTCTTCTGGTCAGTTCACGCCGCGCTTTCTTTTTCATTCTTCATTTTTTCAAAGTCTCCCCCCGTCTTTCTGATCAACTACATTTTTTTTTTTATATGTTTGCTAACGCATACTCTTACAGGGTCGTCACCTTCGTCGTCGCCCTCTGCGGCGTGCTCCTCTTCTTCTTCGTGCCCGAGACGTTCTGGGACCGAATGCCCGCGGCGGCCCCGCGGAACTCCCAGTCCCGGAGGTCCAGCATGCAAAGGCGTGATGTGGCCGCGAACGTGGAGGCGACCCCCGCCAGCCCGACCCTGCAAGGGCCGCACGACCCCTCGCGTCAGCAGTCGGAGAGGCACATCGGGCTCGCCCTCGCCGCCGACCAAGACGGCCGGGGCACTCGCGACGCCGAGAAGGAGGAGGCGGCGGCGGCGGCAGGCATGACCTCTGAGTCGTCGTACAACCCGTCGCCCGCCCCTCCCCGCACCTCGGACACCTCGGGCGCCGACTACTACGCCAAGGAGACGGCCGTCGAGGCGCAAAAGGTCCCCACGCGCACCTCGAACGAGAGCTCGCCGTCGTCCATGGGGCTGGCCTACACGGAGACGCTGCGCAACCAGCCGGCGAGGTCCTTCTCCGAGCAGCTCAAGCCCTGGAACGGCCGCCTCAACCAGGACCGCTGGTTCAAGGTCATGCTGCGGCCCTTTGTCCTCTTCGCCTACCCGGCCGTCTTCTGGTCCGCCGTCGTCTACTCCCTGTCGGTCGGCTGGCTGATTGTCGTGTCCGAGTCGGTCGCCCTCATCTACCGCAACCGCAAGTCGTACAACTTCGACGCCCTCCAGACCGGCCTCGTCTACCTGTCTCCCTTCATCGGCGGCGTCCTCGGCACCGCCGTCGCCGGCAAGGTCAGCGACATCATCGTCAAGTCCATGGCCCGCCGCAACGGCGGCCTCTACGAGCCCGAGTTCCGCCTCGTCATGGCCGCCCCCGTCGCCCTCACCACCGTCATCGGCCTCATGGGCTTCGGCTGGTCCGCCCAGGAGCGCGACCACTGGATCGTGCCCACCGTCTTCTTCGGCATCATCTCCTTCGGCTGCACCCTCGGCTCCACCACCGCCATCACCTTCTGCGTCGACAGCTACCGCCAGTACGCCGGCGAGGCCCTCGTCACCCTCAACTTCAGCAAGAACATCTTCCACGGCCTCGTCTTCAGCCTCTTCGTCACCCACTGGCTCACCGACGACGGGCCCAAGATGGTCTTCATCTGGCTCGGCGTCATCCAGCTCATCTTCCTCTTCCTCACCATCCCCATGTACCTGTACGGCAAGCGGGCCCGCATGTGGACCGCAAGGAAGAACCTGATGGAGAAGCTGTGAGGAGTGAGTTTGTTCGCCTGTCAATGCATTCTTCGGGTCTATTTCGGCGTTTGATGTATTTGGTGTACGCGGGGCGGGATGTCGTCGTCGTCGGTGCGCGCTGTTTTACCCGGCGATCGGATGATCAACCCCTCCTCCCTCCGCGTCGGTCACATTTTCCGGGTTTCCCTTTTCTTTGCAACTGGACTGGACTAGGACAGCTTTGGACTGGCGTTTTACGGATCTAGATGCGGGGAACTTGGGAGCGTTTCATGTCTTTCTCTATTTCTTCTTCTGTTTATTGGGGGTTGCTAGCTTCGCTCTTTTACGATACCTCTTAGAGTTTTATGATTTTGCTTTTTTTTTTGTTTCCTTTACATTTTTTTCTGCCCAACAACTTTAGAGCAGCATCACCGGAACTAGGCAGTCACCGGCTTCCCCATGAAATATTAAGCTTAAGCTTACTTCCTCTACCTCGTTTCCAACTCTCGCGGACGCAATGTGAACCTGTTCCGACTACTGATGGATGGACTTGGGGGGCGCTTTTGGGTCGGGGTTCCCGGACGGCCCGAAGATTTCCTTCTCGTTCTCTCGGCGTCTCAGCACGACTCGAGATGAAAGCCCTGGCATCCAAGGGGCGCGGGGGAAGGCTCGTTCGCGGGCTCATCACCGGATACCTGCGTCATTACCCTCCTCCTCTTCGCCGCCTTGGAGAGAGGGGTGGGGGGGGGTGTCATCGGTGCGTCCTATCTCGGCCCGCGCATTTTTTCGATCCTCGGATGTGCTTCCCGCAGCTTGGCCATCCCCTCTCCATGGACGGTCCTCGTCGGAGTGTAGAGCCTCAACGTCACAAGGGTGGAAAGGGGGGGATGAGGGGGAGCGGAGCCTCCTTGTCCGTCTCCGATCTCACCGACGTCAAATCACATCAAAAATGCGCACACGCACGCCACACACACACACGCCACTTTCTTCCCCCCCAGAAGGAACAGACGAGAGTGGACGCTGCCAAGGCGGATTCCCACTCTCAGCATCGCACAGGTACAGGTACAGGTACAGGTACAAAATACAGACGAGACGAGACTCAGACCCAGAAACCATTCATCTCCCCCCCCCGCCCCCCTCCCCTCTTACCCGGTCAACAAACAAAACAAAAGAGAACAATCGCAGGTTTGTGCGCCGAGGGGGAATCGAACCCCCGGCTCCCCGACGCTGCTTGCGGATGGCAACGGAGAATTTTACCACTAAACCATCGGCGCGGAAACGAGAAGGCCGGCTGGCATCCCCATGCCCCCTTTCCGCTCCGGTCCGAGGTCTTGTTGGCGTTGGTGGAGAGGGTGGATGTAGAGAAGGTTCCTCTTCCGGGGTTGAGCATCTGTTTGGGTGGTGGGATGGATTATTGAGTGCGCCGGGCATTTTCGGGGTTACGCGAACGGGGCCTGTGTGAGAGAAAAAAGCATGTCTGAACCCTGACCCGGGGGGGGGGGGGGGGGGATGACATGGGTCGTCATCCACCCGACGATGCGGCTGGAACCCCCCCCCCCAGTTCTGCCTGCATTTTAGCTTAATCCGACATCCCTCATGCACCTTGTGCTGTGCCGGTTTGTGTTCGCGTTGGTGATGTTGGCTCTTGCCTGGCCAAGAAGAGCAGCCTCTGGGACGATACCATTGTCCCTGGCCTGATTGCTTCCGCAAATGTCCTGCGCTGACACATGGTAACCCGGCAGCCCGTTCGTGAGGACTCATACCCACACACACACACACACACACACACACACACACTTCTCTGCTCGCCCTGCGGACAGACCGGGTTAAACCGGCGCGACTTTACGGCCTCTGAAAGGGAACCCCGGGGCCGACGGCTCGCCGGCAGCGCAGCCCGGCCCGTATCCGGCTTGGTGCTCGCCCCATCCCCCAGGGCGGGTTAGTCGGGCTGCGCGCGCGCGCACCGATTAGGTTCGTCTCATGGCCGACGCCGAGGCTCGAGTCGTTCAGGTTCGCTGACTCACGAACCGGCACCCGGGCGCTTGGCCGTGGCCCTCTCCCCACCAAGCTCGGGTCCAACGAACCGGCCAAGGATGCTGTGGCCCGGTGTTCCGGCCCCCAAACGCTCATCGCCCTCTGTCAGCGCCATCACCGCATCTTTTATCGTGACTCAGCATCACCGTCGGTTTCTCAACGTAGAGCCTCAAAAACCCGTCGGCCGAACCTTTTCTCCAAATCCGCGTCCGTCGTGACATCTTCTCATCCTCGTGCCAAGAAAAAGTCCGCCCGTGAGTCGAAGGCGGCGTTTTTTTCGGCCGTTATGGCACCAAGGCCGGAGTCAGATTGCAAAGAACAGATATGGAAAAAAAAAAGTGATTGGGCTTAGAATGATGGTCTGAAACTGTGTGCTTAGAAGCCAGCGGCCTCGACCGGGAGACGCAGCTTGCGGGCGGCTCTGGAGCTGGATGTACGCGCGGACGCCCATCTCCTGGAGTATCATCCCAAGTTCCCCCCCGCCCCCTGGAGTATCATCTCATGTTTCTCCTTGAGCTGCTGGGATCTTTTCATCAGTTTCATCCGTCATGCTGTTGTTGTGCTCGATGGAGTCAACCATGTTGGATGTTTTCGGGAGAGCTCCAAGACGCTGCCTGGCTGCCGTTGAGGGCGTCGGTAAGCTTCTCGACGGCAGAGTCAGGGCTGTCAGTCTCACTGGAAGAGCTCGCAGGACTGACAGGACTGGTGGGAACAAGGGCTGGCGTTCTTCTTACTTCCCCAAGAAAAGGCGTGATCATGGAAACGAACTACATGGGTCTCGGTATCAGTGCCCTCATACCGAATGACTTTCTTTCAGCCTTGGCGCCCAGTTAGTTTGCAACATACACACACGAGAGGAGTGTTCAAAGACAGTGATGGATTTCTAGAACACAGAAAGAAGAATTAAGAGGCAAAAACACAGATGCCTATCAGCCCTGGCATCGCGGCAGGCCCCACGCAGCATGGCAAGCCTGTTTTTCGCGCGGAGTGGGCTCTGCTGGTGGAATGAGACGGAGTTTGGGCGAGATGTGTCGTTGACTCTTTCTCATCATGTCTTTTGAAAAATTAGTGTTGGAAGACACCTACTGCATAAATAACTTCTTGCCTCGTGCCTTCTTGCTCCGCGTCTTCAACTCCAACTCTTCTTCATGCTGCAGTATTGCCGCCCCTGTGGTTTCAGAGCAGCTTCCTAGGTCGCTCCGACGTCCGTGAGGAGACGATTCGCTGGTCGTAAGAGGTGCGTGTTCAGTTGAATGGCGGCATCTAGCTCAGAGATTGTGACATTCGTTGGGTCTCATGGAGATAGTCCTCCAAGTCCAGAAAATCCCGAGGCACTTGCATGATCTGTGCCCCGATGTTTGGAGTAGCCTCTACAATCGACATAATCGCATGTTTTGAAGGCTGGGGTGTGTTTTTTGTTGGTATCACAGGGGATACCCGACCGGATGGGGCGAACAACAGTAGAATTCATATGGATCTAGTTGTTGCTGAAGAGGAAAAGGGGTGAAGTGATCACCATAGCTGCCGTGCCGTGGGATGTGGGTGACTGGCCTCGGGCCGACCCCACGGCTGATCCGTGGATGCGTTTTGGCATCCCGACAGTTTTCGATGTTCCTCTTTTTTTCTTTTTTTTTTCTTTTTGTGTGACGCGTGTGTTTGAATTCCGTCCACGCAACCGGAATTTTCGAACAAGGACTGAGGAAGCGTATGCGGCTCATGGAAAAGCCGGAACGCGTTGGTGCCCGTGTACTCGTAAGGATCCATGTCCAAGTTGCGAAGGCGATGTCGAACGCCTCAGATGCAGCCCTGGAAGGAGGGGAAGCCAGCATCGCCTCGCCACACAGTGGCAACAGCGAGGAGAGGCAATAACAATCCGCAATGGGTGGTGAGTGGGCAGTAGGTGTATGCAAAAGCTTCACCATGCCGCCTTCTTCAAGGATGAAGAATAGCGTGATGTTGATATTGACATCTATTCGGTGACTATTGGAATAGGGCTGCTTGGTTGTGCCTCGCCTTATAGCATGGAGGCTCCAGCGTCAACCCACGCCCTGCCCGCCTTCTATCAAAAGCGTCCCCTCAGCTCTCCAAAACCCACCTCAGCCCCTCCACCATCTCCCTCTCCGCCTCGACCGCCCTCGCCAGCCCGGGCGCCTTCAGCCAGAACGTATGCGGCCACCCCCTCACGACCTCGACCCGGACCACGGCCCCGGCCTCCCTCAGCGCCATCGCGTAGCAGACCCCGTCCGAGTACAACGTGTCGTTGCTGCACACCTGCACCCACGTCCTCGGCATCCCGCCCAGCTCCTCCGCCCCGGCCTCGAGCGGCATCCTCCCCAGCCCGTCCCTCGGCACCGCCCGCCCGAACACGCCCAGCAGGCTCGTGACGAAGGACGGCGAGGCCGAGGTGTAGGCGCGCCGGAGACGCTCCGGGACGAGGTCCAGAGAGCTGCCGCCGTCGCTGGTCACGGGGCACCGGAGCACGACGCCGTGGAAGCTGCCACGCGGCGCGAGCTGCGAGACGGCGGCCGCGAGCTGCCCGCCGCTCGAGGAGCCGACGAGGACGAGCCTCCTCGCTGACGGGTGGAGGGCGCGCACGTGGGCGAAGGCGTCCAGCGAGTCGGATACGCAAGTCGAGGCCGGGAACCCCGGCATCAGCCTGTATCCAACCGAGTACACTGTCGCGCCCGCGAAGTCGCTCACGATGCGCCTGCAGGAGAGCTCCTCGCTGTCCGCCTCGCCGACGTAGAGCCCGCCGCCGTGGTAATAGATCGCCACGACGCCCTCGTTTTTGGACGCCGGTTCGACGCTCCTGTCGAAGAAACGGAGTAGCGGGATGGAGAAGCCGTCAAGGGTCGACGCGGTGGTCAGTTGCTGCGTCGAGACGTGTGAGAGAGGGTGGTACAGCGCGCCGGGTGCGAGCATGCGGGCGTTGAGCTGCCTGCATTCCTCGGCGTAAACGGGCTGGCGATCGAGTGGCGAGGCATGCGCTTCCTTCGGGGCCTGGAGAGATGCTTCTTCTTCGTAGGCGAGCCAGGCGGGATCTAGAGGGGGAGCCTCTTTGAGGATGAGATAGTCCAATGAGTCCATGTCCATTTGAGTAGCTGAAGTTAGTAGCAGGCACAATGGGCGAGGCAAATCAGACGAGACGGGCGAAGCGGGTGTAAAAACGGCAGCACAAACATTCTCACGACAATGGTCGCGAAACGTCGGTCGATAAGATGCAGTTGAACAATGTTGGAGCTGAGGTCGCAGGTGGGGAAGTCGGTGATTCCGGCTGTTGTTGTCGCGGCGAGATCCCGTTTATCCGTCAGTATTGCCGGGAGGCCGGGTTCCTGACCGCGAGACCCAAAGGCCGCATTCGTGGCGAAATTTGGATTGGATGCTCTCCAGACGTATGAAGGTTAGTTGTCATGAAACTTTCCACGCTGCTGGTAAGAAGGTACCATGTAGAAAGGATTTGCTCCTTTGGCTCGGGTAAAGGACAACCGGGTGTTACCGCCGAGAACGTAAACTCCGAACGGAAAAATTCAACCGAACAATTAGCGCCTGTCAGAAATGTGTCGCCGACTCCGTCGAGCACCGCGGATGGCCATCAAGTTTTCAAACAATGCGCTGGGTACAGCAGGTCGATATTAATGTCCACTGGGCTGGTTCCCTCCCCTCGGACCAATCGCCTATCTACAATGCTAGAGTACACAAAGGGGATCGAAGAGTGAACGCATCTATAGCACCGAGAGATCGCCGAACTTCTCCTGCAGAGGGAGTTAGCATGCCGAAGCGCATCTGCGTCGCAGATTGACCGTACCTTGTATCCCGGAACGGACCAGCGGCCCTTGGAGACGAGCTGGGAGGTCTTCTCGTCGATCGAGGGCTCGGCGGCGGCAACGTCGTCCTGCGGTCATCGTAAGTATCCACACGAGTGCAATCTCCATCGATCTGATCGGCACGTACGACAGTGAGGTCCTCGAAGGGGCGAGCGGACTCGATATTGGTCAGGGTCTTCTCGAGGTCCTTGAGCTCGAGGTCGACCTTCTGCTTGGTGGCCTCGGCGTTCTTGACGGCCTCGACCTCGAAGGCCTCGATGGCCTTGATCTGGCGGTTGACGTCGTAGGTGGCGGGCTTGAAGGCGGTGAAGCGCTTCTCGATCTCGTCGACGACGGCCTGGTTCTTGAGGACGGTGCGGTAGTGGGCGAAGTCGACGGTGGTGGGGAGCTCCGAGAGCTGCTGGACGCGGCGGCGG